AGTTAAAAAACAAACAAACAAACAAAAAAAACCGAGAAGTTTTAAATGTTAAAAGGGAAAAATAATGTTAGGTCTTCATTTTATTAAAAACATAATCCAGCAATGGAAGCAAGAGAAACATGAGGTAAAGTGACTTGCCCACCCTGGTCATGCAGTGGCAGTGGCAGAACTGGTATCAGGACTCTTACCTCTTCCATCAGCCCTACAATAATCTGTTATTTTTGGCAGAAATGTAAAGTTAGAGTGTCATTCACTAGGAGACAGGGCCAACGCAGAGGCTGGCTTCTTGTTGCATTTGCTCAAGCAAGCTCTGTGGGTCTTGCTTCCTGATTGTCTTGTTTCTACACTCCCCAATCTCTTTTCACGGCTCATCCCAGGTCCTACATTTAACCACACACATCTCAGTCAGAGCTCTAGGGCTTTATTACAAATGGAGTTGACTGCTAGACAGGCCCCTCTTCAAACTTTCTTTTGTACCCTCTTCCCTCCCAACATATTCCTCCAGGGGAGGTCAGTAAGCCATTATGAAAGAGGAATCTGGGGAGAGTTGAAAAGTTGAAATGCTTTTTCCAAAGTCCTCTGAAACAACCTCTGGAGTCCTTATGGCTTCAGCTGAGAATCTTCTGTTGGAAAAGATAAGAACTTTAGCTCTCATCTTCAAGGTCCTTCATGTCTACATCCTGGGGAGGGGTTGTCTTCTTTTGCCGTTTGGGCTGTGCTTCACTAGTTCTGGGTGGCTTTGAAGGGGCTTCCACTGAGTAAAGGGAAAGAGAAAACATTAAAGAACCCAAATAAGGCCGGGCGCGGTGGCTCACGCCTGTAATCCTAGCACTCTGGGAGGCCGAGGCAGGTGGATCGCTCAAGGTCAGGAGTTCGAGACGAGCAAGAGTGAGACCCCGTCTCTAGTAAAAATAGAAAGAAATTATCTGGACAGCTAAAAATATATATAGATAGAAAAAATTAGCCGGGCATGGTGGCGCATGCCTGTAGTCCCAGCTGCTCGGGAGGCTTAGGCAGGAGGATCGCTTGAGCCCAGGAGTTTGAGGTTGCTGTGAGCTAGGCTGACGCCACGGCACTCACTCTAGCCTGTCTCAAAAAAAAAAAAGAACCCAAATCCAGGCTCCCCTTCACCCACTTCTGTGCCCCAGCCTCACCTTCCATGGCTGCCTTCTCTTTCTGGGCAAGCCGGATCTGCTGGAGGAGTTTCCTGCGCTTCTTCCCCGAAAGAGTAATGTTGGCACGTGCACTGGACCTGAAGGGTAGGTAGGAGCAAAGATATCAAGGTTAACCTGAACTGACCTAGCTCACAAAAATGGTTCTGTCTATGGAAAAGATCTTTGTATTCAAATCACATCACTGTCTGAAAGTCTGAGCTCTAAGGTGGTGAGTTAAATCTCTCCAATACTTAGACTTTAACATACTTAACACTAATCTCAACACATACCTCAGGATTAAGTATTAAATAAAATAGTTAATGTTAAATGTTAAAGTTTTGTATGTAGTAGAAACTCTAGGTTGGGTGCAGTGGCTCACGCCTGTAATCCTAGCACTTTGGGAGGCCTAGGCAGGAGGATTGCTTGAGGCCAGTTCCAGACTAGCCTAAGCAAGAGGGAGACCCCCAACTCTACAAAAAATAGAAAAATTAACTGGGCATGGTGGCACACGCCCATAGTCCCAGAGCTACTCAGGAGGCTGAGGCAGGAGGATCATTGGAGCCCAAGAGTTAGAGGCTACAGTGAGCTATAACGATGCCACTGCACTCTAGCCCAGGTGATAGAGCAAGACCCTGACTCCAAAAAGAAAAAAGAAACTCTAAATATTTATACTGAAAAAGCCGTTGAAAGGATGTAGAAAGTAGTTAATGAATGAGAACTCTTCCCCAAAACTCAGGGGGCCTTGAAACTTCTAAGGAAAATCCTATATGTACTTTTGGGAAAATCCTTGTATGCACTTATATGTGCACTTTTCTGTATGTAAAAATAAGTTTACTTATAAAAAATCTATGTGGGCCGGGAGCGGTGGCTCACATCTGTAATCCTAGCACTCTGGGAAGCTAGGAGACGGGAGGATCGCTCGAGGTCAGGAGTTCAAGACCAGCCTGAGCAAGAGCGAAACCCCAGTCTCTACTGAAAAAATAGAAAGAAATTAGCTGGACAACTAAAAATATATAGAAAATATTAGCTGGACAACTAAAAATATATAGAAAATATTAGCCGGGCATGGTGGCGCATGCCTGTAGTCCCAGCTACTCGGGAGGCTGAGGCAGGAGGATTGCTTGAGCCCAGGAGTTCGAGGTTGCTGTGAGCGAGGCTGACGCCATGGCACTCTAGCCAGGGCAAGACAGTGAGACTCTGTCTCAAAAAATAAAAAAAGCTATGTGAGCATACGTTACTGTAGGTGGGGGAGTCGACAACTTTCCTGAGATTCTCAATAGAGTTGAAGACCCAAGAAAGGTAGTCAGCTACTGGTATTGAGAGGCTAGCAGAGTTTAGGAACTAACACAGCCGACAAATACTTCCCTCATAGACGTGAGTGCACGAGGAAAGCAGAGCGGTGTTGGTTGATCCCGAGCTCTGCAAGGAGGGAAGTCTCGGTGGGGAGGACCAAAGAGGAGAGGGTTTGGTACTCACGCCCGCTTCTTGAGGTGGTGCCGCGTGATCAACCCCTCGTCTATCACAGCCCCAACCACCTGGTGCTTCAGTCGCCGCTCCCGCTTCAACACCCGTCGGCGCTTGAACAGCTTCTTCCTCAGTTCCTGCGAGGGAGAGAGATGCGAATCAGACCAAGGCGGCGCGCCGCAACCTGGGATAGCTATGCCCGGCGACCCCGGCCCCTCATCAATCTCATCTCGCGCGAGACAAGAGGGCTTCAGGAGGTTTGGGGAAACAAAATCGCTGCCCCCGCGAAGTCACCGTTCGGGGCCGGTTGATCTTTCCCCCAGGAGCTCCCATGGTCTCGGCGTGGTTCCGCACTTCCGCTCCGCGCAGGGTCCGCAGAGCTCCGCCCCTCAGCCCTCCGAGAGCCAATCGCAGCTCGGGGGCGGGTCGCGGGGGCTATATAATATAGCTCGGCTGTCCCCGAAATCTTTCCGAGGGCGGCAGCAGGGTAAGTGTGTACGTTGTTGGGGAACTCAGGCGGCAGTGCGGGGATTTGGGGCTGGGCCGGGCCTGCGGACCCTCCTTTTCTTGGCGGGGACCGGGCGTGTGGTCCCGCTCCCCGTTATGTACGGAGGCAGAGTGAAAGGGCTCCGGCCCCCTCGGTGTCATGTCTTCGGTGCCGGCGGCTTCTCGTCCGCCGGTTCTATCCTCAAGCGCCGGTACACCGGGTTTCTTGGAACTGGGCAGAACCGGGATCCCGCGTGCTTCGACCCGGGGTGCTCACGCCTTTTCCTTTAATTTCAGGACTACGGACGCCGCCCCAGGAGCGGAAGCTGTGCTATCCTATCCCCTCCTCTTACACTTCGCGTTGCAACCAATAAAGGCCGTTTCTACCGTAGTAGGTCTGTGTCCGCGTTCTTTATTCTGAGGCTGCAGAGTTCGGGGAGGCTGTAGGCGTTCTTCTACGACGCGGAATTTGCAGATCTTACTTTGGACCTGAGGCCCCTGGCTGGAGTGCGGCGGGCATTTCCTACAAGGTTCTCTGGCTGACCTTGCCTGGACTTCCGGATGGCAGTGTTCCGCCGAACGCTCCACGTGCGGAGCCTGGTGGCTGGGACCCGCCGCGCCTTGGCGGGTAGGGAGGGTGGGGGCAGACTGGGAGGGCAAGGTGGATTCTTAGTGACCTGGGGCCCTAGTCCCTGAAATTGTGGCTCTTAAAACCCCAGGGTATATATGGGCCGTTTTTGCAGCGGTGAGGTAGAACTTGGACACCGGATGACACGTACCCTCCACCCGTGTTCACAGGCTCCCTGGCTGGTAGCTGCCTGGCAGACCGCTGCCTCTGGGATCGATTCCACTCCCGGCTTCATCTAGGCAGTGTCCCCACCTTCGACTGGTTCTTTGGATACGAGGACGTTCAGGGGCTCCTACTGCCGTTGCTGCGGGAAGCACGGGCTGCCAGTCCACTGCGGGTGCTGGATGTGGGCTGTGGAACCTCCAACCTATGCACAGGCCTCTACACCAAATCCCCACACCCAGTGGATGTTCTGGGGGTGGACTTCTCTCCTGTGGCTGTGGCCCACATGAACAACCTCCTGGAGGGTGGCGAAAGCCAAACACGTCTGTGCCCTGGGCACCCTGCCTCCCGCCTCCACTTCATACAGGCTGATGCCCAGAACCTGGGGCCTGTGGCTTCCTCAGGCTCCTTCCAGCTACTGTTGGACAAGGGCACCTGGGATGCTGTCAGCCGAGGTGGTCTGCCTGGGGCTTACCGGCTACTATCAGAATGTCTCAGGGTCCTAAGCCCCCAGGGGACCCTGATTCAGTTCTCAGATGAGGACCCTGATGTGCGGCTCCCGTGCCTAGAGCAAGGGTCCCAAGGCTGGACTGTCACTGTACAGGAGCTAGGCCCTTTCAGGGGTATCACCTACTTTGCTTACTTGGTTCAGGGCTCTCATTAATAAAGACATTTTGGTCCTGACCATAGTTAGTGTTTCTCTTGGGCAAAGAGGGCTGGAAAGAGCACTGTCTTTGCAAGACAGATGGCCGAAAAAGAATTTGAGTTCTGGCTTCCACATTTACTAGCTGGGTGCACATTATTGAATGTTTCTGTACCCCAGTTTACTCATCTGCAGAGTGGAAATAATACCTGGAGTTATGGAGGTTACATGCAATGATACTTAAACATTTAGCAGTGCCAAGCAAAAGTTGAGTGCTGAAAAGAGAAGGTACATGTGGATCATGACCCACTTGCAACTACCTGGAGCTCCTAAAAGCAGCAAACAGAAACTCAATCGAAATCCCAGCATTTACTTGTGTGATCCAGGTGGCCTGACCTCTAAGCCTCATTTTTTTCACCTGCAAAAGGGGAAGGTGTGAGGTAGAAGGGCTTCATAAATAAACCTAGATGAAATGTTTAAGGGAGAGAGAACAATACTTACCCTCAAAGCTACTAGGAGGCAGGAGATGAGAATATTCCACAAAGCGGCTTCTGCAGGCATGGGAGCTTGTTGCTGGGTCCCAAAAAGAACAGAGGGGGGCTTCCTGACACTCTGTGTCCTCAGGAATCCAGGAGGGATCTTGCTCTTCCTGCCCCCAGCTGAGTCCAACATTAAATGTTCTTAAGGGTGACCTGGGATTCTGTGGGCTCCAAGCCCAGCCTGGTGGGGGAGGGCAGAGGTGAGAACCCATTAACAGTGAAAAATATCCCTTATATATTATTGAACTTTTTATTTTTTTTACTTCTGAGTATGCTTGCTTGGGAATGTTGAATTTTTAAAAAGATTATAAAACTGGCCAGGTGCAGTGGCCCATGCCTGTAATCCCAGCATTTTGGGAGGCCAAGATGGGAGGATTGCTTGAGGCCAGGAGTTCATGACCAGCCTGTGCACCTTAGTGATACCTCATCACTACAAAATGTAAGAAAATTAGCAGTGTCTAGGGGTGTGCGCCTGTAGTCCTAGCCTCTGGATGCTGGGGAAGGAGAATCACTTGAGCCCAGGAGTTCGAGGTTACAGTGAGTTATGATCTGGCCACTGCACTCTACCCTGGATGACAAAGCAAGACCCTGTCATAAAAAAAAAAAAGCTGTAAAACTAATTTGTGTAATTTTTTGCTTATGGAAAATAAGAGCAAATTATAATATGATTAAGATCCTAACTTCACAGCCTGTTTCTTCATTTATAAAGAGAATTATCTCCTTCATTGGGTGATTCTGAAAATCATTAGTTAAAGGTATTTAGCACAGTGCCTGGTATATAGTAAATGCTCAAAAAAAAGTAACTTCTATAAGAGTATACACATAAGGAAAAAAGTTTAGAAGAGAAGACATCCAAAATGTTAACTATTTCTGGATAGTTGGATTTGGGGTAATTTTATTATGTTTTTCCCCGCAACAAACAATGTAAATATTTTAAAATATTAAAAGTACAGATTAAAAAGTGTTACCCATTCTGACACCAGAACTGTCCTCTAATGTTCACCAACTTTGCCAATTGCCTTGACTTTTGTCTCCCACATCTTTCTTCACCACCTTTATTTAGCACATACTAGCTGCCTGGCACTGACGAATGCAGGGGACACTATGGAGTTTTCCATCTTGGCCCTACCCAGAACATCCAGGTTACAATGGCCCCACTGATCCATCCACTGCCTTCACCTGGCTCTTCACTTTCGTCCTGGAAGAAGGCCTCAGCCTCCTCTTCCTCACCATCTGTGAGCAGCAGCAGCTCCTCATGGGGCCACTGGAGATCCCCACTCTCTTCTTCATTCACCGCAGAGGCTTCCACCACAATAGAGGGCAGGTGGGACTTTTGAGAAACAACCTGAGTAGAGACAGCAGGGAGGCTGGGGCAAATTGGAGGATGAGCCAGCTGCAGGACACTGGGTGGGGAAGTACTAACCTGAATATCCTGGTGCCCTTCAACCCTGCCAATCTCTCCTCTGTCCTTCCAGAGAGGGTTGGTCAGCCTGGGACTTTCTGGGTGCTTGGAGGAGCCTGGGCTATCTCTAGCCCAAGGCCCATCCTCCTCAGGGCTCCCAGGCACAAGGGCCATGGTGGTGATCCTTAAGAGTACAAGGTGGTTGAACTCAGAGTAGAGTACTCCTACCCAGTGCACCCCACAAACTGTTCCTTTAATCTTCTTTGGAGCCTGGCCCCTTAATCACTTCTGAGGAGAGGGGGATGACATGCTAGGAGATTATGGGCCTTCTAGGGGAGGGGAAACTGCTCAAGAGGTGGGATGGGAGCTTTATTTCTATTTACTCTCTGGAGACACTGGGATGGCAGCAAGGGTAGGAGACAACAAGGGCATCTGGATTAAAGCCTTGTGAGTGAAGAGCTTTGATAATGAACTTGGAATTTCCTGACTCCTTTGCTTATTGGTTTTCCCAAGCTGGCATATTTGTTTGTATCTTATTTAATGAATATTTATGTGGTGTTTACTATTTACCAGGACCTGTTTTAAGTGTTTGTATATAACTCAAATTATCCTAAAACTATGAGACAGAACTGTTATAAACCACATTCTCCAGTGCAGAAACCAGGGCACAAAGAACTTAAATGAATTGCCTACAGTCAGTCACACAGCTAAGTCCAAACTGGAATTCTGTATGTTACACATAATCAAGAGTTTTCAGAGTTAAAAATAAAACAGTTCAAAAACCAGTGTCAAGGGTATACCATCATGAGAAAAATAACAGATTATTTGTAAAATAAAGAAAATAAGCTGGGCGCAGTGGCTCACATCTGTAATCCTAGCACTTTGGGAGGCCAAGGTGGGAGGGCTCCTTGAGGTCAGTTTGACATCAGCCTGGGCAACATGGCAAGACCCTGTCTCCACAAAAAAATTTTTTTTAAATTATTAGCCGGGCGTGGTGAGCTATGATCGTGCCACAGCACTGGGCAGGGCAGAAAAAAAATATATATGTATATGCTATATAATACATGTAACATATATACAATATATATGCCTATAACCCGTTCCCGCACCTAGTACACTTGGCTTTGAGTTTTTGTTCCAGAGCTGAAGGTACTGAAAGGGATCAGAATGATATCTGTAAGTATCTGGATGACCACTATGTGCTGTGTTGAAAAAGCGCGAGTTCATCATATCCTATGGAAAAAAAGAAAAGAAAAGAAAAGAAAACGCTCAAGTGACTGCAGGGAATTGCAGAGCACAGTTCAGCCCTCTACCGATTGGGAAATTTCGGAAGGCAGAAAACTGGGCAATTGTAAAACCCACAGCAACCATAAAGACACGTACTTTTCCCCCTAGCAATCCCACTCCGGATCTGATGAAAAAGGGTCCGCGCTGAGCCCCTAGGTGCCAACATCTTTTTTTGACACCTTCAAGCTCCTCAGCTAAAGACCAACGCTTTACAGATTCGACACGATTCTCCCATCAGGCCCTCTCTAGCCGGGCGCTTCTCTATGGTTTCCCCCCCCCCCCCCCCTCTGGGCCGCTCTAGCCTGCTCAGGGGGCGAGGAGACGTCCGTGGCTTCCTTTCTAGGCTGCGGGAGGCTCCAGGGAGCATCTCGCTGGTCGTGCGATGGGGACCCTGAAGAAAACGCTGGTCGCAGTCGCAGTGCTGGGCGCAGGGGCTGGCGTGGGCGCCGCTCTCTTTGCTCTGGTGACCCCAGGAGAGCTGCAGAAGCAAGCAATGCTGAAGGTAGAAGCAACTGGGAGACCTGAAGTGGGGTAGGCGGGCGGAGAACCCCGGTCTGGGTGCTCAGACTGCGAATCTCCCTTCCTGCCCTCAGGAGATGCCGGAGCAGAACCCACAGCACAGGGACGAGGTGGCCAGGACCCAGGAGCTAGTGCTAGCCACTCTGCAGGAGGCGGCGGCCACGCAGGAGAACGTGGCCTGGAGGAAGAACTGGATGGTTGGCGGCAGCGGGAGGTCAGCTTGAGACCGGACTTGCCCCTGTGGGCGCTGGGACCTTAGCTCGGGCGCACTTGTCCGAGGCGGCCTTTCTTCTCTGGGGTACGCACCCGGGATGTCGTGCCCAGAACTCTGCGGGGCCCCAGGACCTGCCGCTGGGTGAGCACGTCCCCCCACCCCCAAACCCTGTACTGATTGCTTTAACATCTGCGTCTCGGACCGGGGCCTAGAGGGTGGTCGGATGTGGCGAACTGAAGGCACCAATAAATCATGTTCTTCCACCCGGAGAGTGAGCCCTGCAATTCGGACGCGTAGCAGTGCTTAGACACCCAATGTTGGTGCGTAGTCTGTGGCTGCTGCCTGCCCCACCCCCCAGGAGAGGCGGGAGCACAGTAGGCATAGCGACCACATTTTCAGAACAGATCATGTATAAATTTGAGTGTGCTTCCAGGGATAAACTAAGCAACATTCTTGAAATCAGAACTATGCTGGAAAAGCTTGTAGCAATGGACGCCTATAGAGCTGTGGTACCCAACCCCGGGCTGCGCTGCGTAGCGGTACCAGTCGTGGCCTGTTAGGAACCCAGCCCCCCAGCAGGAGGTGAGCAGTGGACAAGTATTGGAGCTTCTATTTACAGCCGCTCCCCATGGCTGACATCACTGCATAAGCTCCTCCTGTCAGATCAGCAGCCACATTATATTCTCATAGGAGCAGGAACCCTACTGTAAACTGCGCATGCGAGGGATCTAGGTTGCTCTCCTTATGAGAATCTAATGCCTGATGATCTGAGGTGGAGCTGAGGCCCTGATGCTAGCGCTGGGGGTCAGCTGCAAATACAGATTATCATTAGCAGAGAGGTTTGTATAATTATTTCATTATATATTACAATGTAATAATAGAAATAAAATGCACAATAAATGTAATGTGCTTGAATCATCCTGAAACCATCACCTCCCGCTCCCCTCCTACCCCCTCCCCCAGCCTCCTGGAGAAACTGCCTTCCATGAAACAGGTCCCTGATGCCAAAACGGCTGGGGACCACTGCTATAGGGGACTCCTACTCAGGGCTCCTGTCCTTTGAGCAAAGTTGGAGAGGGACATCTAGCACTTAACATATGCCATAATGCTTTCTGTGGCCATTATTTGACCTACGGTTAAACAAGCTTAGAGAGGCTGATATACCAGGAGTGGTGAAAGGAGCTTGCTTTGAGTTAGATCTTGGTTGAACTCCTGCATGTTAAAAAAACCTCAGCCCTATTCTATGAAAGGTCAAAACTGCCTTGAGACTTGTTAAAAAGCTTAACTTAGAAATGTAAAATGGTTTCCAATCTCTGAATCCAGTCATAGGACCTACTGGAGATGCCACTGAGGGGATGAGAGAAAGCAGTAGGGTCACGGCCAAGTCAACCAAGTCACTCCCCTTTTGTCTATTTTATAACGTGTGGTTCCGAAGCAAGATTGCAATTGAAAAGAGGTTGTTCCTTACAATGCAAAATCCTACAAAAAAGAAAGAAGAAAGATGGCTCTTATTAAAGTCAGAACACTAAATAAAGCTTTGTAACACCGAAGTGTAAACCCAGATGTGAGCATTGGTGCCATTTTCAGCTGCTGGATGGTGGAATTGTAAGCTGAACACGTTTGTTATGTGTGATCTTTATAGTATAACTGTGTCCTCTCCTAGTCCAAGAATGAGAGGACAAAGTCAGAGCTGTTTGGCAAGACACTAGGGTGGGCTGCTCAAGAGGAGCTATCATGGAGAAGTTTGGTGGTTCAAAACCTGAGCCCTGCAGTTAGGCCTCCCAGGTTTGTGTCCAGGTTCTACTGTTTGCTAACTGTGTCAGTCTGGGCAAGGATCATGTGCTTTGGTGTCCTGATCTCTAAAGTGGGAGAACTGTACCTACACCTAGATAATAGTGCCTTCATGTTTTCAGTAATACATATAAGACACTTAAAATTGTGTGTGGTACAAATTAAGTACTCAGTACTTTTTAGTGTTAGTAGGAAAGCACCAGTGTGGTTGTGACTTACTCTTTAGAGCAGAAGAGATGCAGGTGTGAAGTGCAGATGCACCCTAATGCTCCTCTCAATGTTGTGGATGGCCACACACAAAAAATTACTCTTTTAGTTGCTAATACTTTAGCTGCTAATACTACTTGGGAACTAATTAGATGCCAGGCACTGTGCTAAAGCACATTATGTATCAGCTATACGTAATCCTCACAACTACAAGAAACAGGCACTATTATCCCTATACTATTAAAGAAGAAACCAGGCTTAAAGAAGTTAAGGCAAGCCTGGGCATGGTGGCTGACGCCTATAATCCTAGTACTCAGGGAGGCCAAGGCAAGAGGATTGCTTGAGTTCAGGAGTTCAAGACCAGCCTGAGCAAGAGTGAGACCCAGTCTCTACCAAAAATAGAAAAAAATTAGTCATGTGTGGTGGCACATGCCAATAGTCCCAGCTACTTGGGAGGCTGAGGCAGGAGGACCACTTGAGCCCAGGAGTTGGAGGTTGTGGTGAACTACGATGACACCAGTATACTCTAGCTCCAGCAACAGAGGGAGACTTTGTCTCAAAAAAAAAAAAAAAGGCAGGGCACATAGCTAGTAATGATTTTAAGCTTATGTAGTCTTATCCATAGAAGCAAAAGGTGTCATCCAATTTCCTTCCCCCACCCCCAGCAGCTCTCCTCCTAGCAGCTAATCAGACCTAGGGATTAGAAACTAGGCTCTTTGTTGGAAACTAAAGATGAAGAAGGTCTACTCTAAATGCCTTCCCTTTCGCTTCTTCCTCTGCCTCAGTTCTGTCCCTCCCAGCCATTCAGGAAGGAGTGAGGCATATACAGAACTCAGAGGTTCTATTTATTAGGAAGGAGATGTCAGTGCTTTATCAAAGATGAAGAGGTCAGAGAGGAATGGCAGGATAAAGGCCCATCAGCTGGGACATTTCTTGGCCACAATGAGGACAGCAGAAGGCACGAGTCCTGAAAATGGAAGAAAAACAGGCTTGAACCACAAGGATACTTGCTTTTTGCTCCCAAAATTTCTGGCCTCACACCATCTCTACCAAGTCCCCTTCTCTTTGCATCCTTTCTTTTCCTAGGCATGCCCCCCCACACCCCATTCCCCCAAGCCCTGGTTTCTGGTCTCACATGCCATACCCAGCTCCTGCA